TATATATATATATATATATATTAATACTATATATATGTTGGTATTATATAAATACATATTTCACAGCTAATTATGAATGACTACAAATATTTCTATTTTCTATTGCAGTTATACAATAGAAAAAATATTTTTTTAGATATTAGAAAGATATATCAAATAGTTTGAAAAATTAAATCCCATTAAATAAAGCCCTCTTAGAAATTGGTCCTGCAATATATTTAAAATTTTTAATATTATATGCATAAATATAATTTATAATACTCTATATTTTAAAATTTAATATCATTATCTAACTTATAATTTTAATATTATATGTATATAAATAATTTATAATATTTTATTTATATCGTGCAAATGCACATGATCGAATACTAATGCAACATGAAAGAGAAATATAAATCTCATTCCACATTGAAAATTGTATTAGATTTCTCATTATGCTTTCATATTTCACTAGTATAATTCGCGTGTATTACACGACTATATGCTAAGAAATTTATATTTAAAATTAAAAATACTAATAAAAAATATTAATTTTCAAATACTTTTTTTGATCAACTATTACTATATATATATGTATATATATAATAACACTCACCATTTATATGGTTTACCATCTTATATTATAATATTTTTTAATTATATCATTTAACAACTGTGCAGTTAAATTGGATAAAAAAAATATTTTTCAATTAATATTAATAGGTAATTCTTTTATTATAAAGACAAATATAATATTTTTGAAAAAAAAAATAGTATGTACAATATAAGTGTCAAATCGAAGCTCAACTTTTAAATCTACTTATAATTTAAATTAGTAATTTTTTCATAATTTTAAAGAAAGATGAGGAATAAAGAAAGATTGAAGTAACAAATTTATACCGTCTAGAATAGAAAATGTAGTATAATTAATGTTTTTAAAAAAGACCATAAATATCTAGTATATTATGGTTATTCTAAACCTAATTATTTTTCGAATGAAAGTAAATTAAAATTCATTCAAACCAAATGACAAAATATGAAAATTTACCAAATAAAATCTTGAAACATGCAAGACTACTATTTTAGCTCAGCATATTTGAGAATTATGTATAGCGACGAATTCATTTTCATTCCATTAGATGATTGACACATGTATAAACATGAGTTAACTTTCATGTTCCATTTAATGTTAGAACTTAATGAATTGTTATTCACCGCCTCCTATTAGTCTGTTACTACTCACCGCCCCCTCAATTACATTTTTGCCCTTCACTACTTTCTCTTTACTTTTTTCCTCTCGATTTTATACGGCTCTTTTGACCGTAATTTTTTTTTTTGAAAAAATGCCAAAAAATTACCATGACATCGGCAAGACATTGAAGATTGACCATGTATTTTTTTTTTTACTTTGTAAATAATTTTTTTTTTTTTT